CAGGTGCACAATAAATGTTAATAAGCAGAAAGCTGCACTGTGTTCAAGAGGTCTTAGTTGTATACCATCAGTCAGCTGTACAACTTGAGATAAATCCATCTCCGGCTGCTCCCACCTAAAATGAGGTAGGACTACATGTCTATAAGGGCCTTTCTGAAGCAGGTATTACGTGATTTCTGACAAATCATGTGGAGAAATGGAATCTACACACGTTCTTATTTCTATTCAACCTTCTCGCAGACATCCTTCTGGGAAACCCAGTATCCACCCATCTATCCTGCCTGAATTGAGGGATTGTAAATGATCGTCTATCTGTTTATTCTATCTGTAAATGGTCAAGTCACTCTCTGGATCTGTTTCACAGGTATAAACCCAACATGGCAGATCTTCGTGAACCACAGATCCCACACTTGATACCACCACGTAGTCATTGATGTCCAGTCAATGACCGGTGTACTCAGCAGGCAGAGCTCAGTGTCTGTCGGGTGTGGGTTCCAATTCCAGCTTCAAGGCCAGGCACTTGACACACACTATCTCACTTAATTACCCACTGAAACCTCTGCAGGGTAGATCTGTCCCCACGTGGAAGGGGAGGGAGGCGGCAGCCTCTCTTCCTATACAGAAAGCTGCCCCAAGCCTCGGCCCCGCAGCCTCCCAGCGACGCGGACGTCACTCTCAACACTTCCGTCTATTACATATTTGGCAAACACGCTAGGCCGCGACCCAGACGCCGAAGAGGTGAGGGAGTCAGGGCGGGAGCAACTCAAAGGGCCACCAGCCAGCGCTCGTGGGGCCAATGCGATCCTACCTGGCTTCGCTCTCGGTGTTCCCGCTGCCGGGACTTAGCCGCTTTACGAAAAGCCGCGGCCATGGCCGCAGATTCCTGGAAAATCTCAAAAGACTATGCCGGTTACCGTACCGCCCGGGCCACTACGTCGATCTAGGCTACCGGAAGCGTGCTCGGCCCGCCCAGGAGCTTGGAACCACCCATTTCCACCAGTCAACCTATAGGAAGCCTGCTTTCAGGAATTACGTCACCAAGTTCAAGGCTCTTGGGACAAGCGCCTCCTGGGAGATGTAGTTTCCTCCGTGTAGTCCTGTGACTCAACGAAAGCCAACTCTTGTCGATGCAGATCCACGCGTCCGAGACCTTGTCCGGAGACGCTCCGCCGCGCGTTGGCACCTGGGAACACGTGGTTTGAGCTTTACTTTGGGCTGTACTGGGTTTGTGTGCATTTGTGTCCTCACCTGCAATTCTTCCTTACTAGCATTATTTACGCGGTACATTTAAAGCTAGGATCAGTGTGAATCCTACAGCTTACCAGAAAACACACCAGGAAGAGACAAGAAGGCTTATTTGGCTCTGGTACTGAATCACTGGCTCCATGACTTTGAGCTAGTTTCTTGACTTTAATGAGCATCGTTTTTCTAACACATAAAAGGCAGATAATAATAGCATGCACTTCGTGCCTCAAAGGACAGTCGAGAGCATAGAATTGAGGAATTGTCTATAAGCAGCATTGAAGAGAATCACTTAATGACAGTAGTTTCAAAGTTCTGAGTCACACACACCCTGGAGGGAATAGCTGGTTGGCTGGCTAGCCTAATGTGCGTCAAAGTACATTGTAAGGGTTAAGACTGAATGACCATGGGGTATTATTCTGATCCTCACTCTGATACTAACCAAAGAAAAGTTAGCTGAACCTCAAACTCCTCTGTAAAGCAGTGTAATACTAGAACCACAAGATTGTTGTGAAAGTTAAATGAAGTAGTATGGTTGATGTGCTTAATGCTGTGTTAACCTGTTAACAGGTTCACAATAAAAAATGAAGCTATCATTGTTTTGTTGTGTTTTGTGTCTTTTCTGCCAGTAGTAGGGTTTGAACTCAGGGTTTAGGCCTTGTCACTTAATTTTTTGCTTATGGCTGGAACTCTACCACTTGAGCTACAGCTCCACTTCTAGCTTTCTGATGGCTAATTGAAGAAAAGTGTCCCATGAACTTTCATACCCGGGCTGGCTTTGAAACACGATCCTCAGACATCAGCCTCCTGAGTAGCTAGAATTTCATGTGTGAACCACTGACACAAGCTACCCACAGCTATCCTTTTTTTTTTTTTTTAGCATTACTATCCCTGCCTTCAAGTTGACAGAGAGAGAGAGAGAGAGAGACAGCAAAGCAAATCCTGAGGAATTTGGTTTCTTTTCCACTACATGACTTTCGGCAGGTTCCATTATTGTATCCATTTCTCAAAACAGTAATCACCTCTCCAGCTGAAAAGGTCTGGGGAAATCCTTGTTTCAGAGTCCCCAGAAATGCCAAGACCAGGGGATCAGTGGGCATGAAAGAGGTGAAAATAGCTGGGATCTGCGGTGTGATAAGTTTTTCCTACTCCTGCACTAGATCCTTGCTCAATGAGGGCATGGGTGCCACATTCGTTAACAAAACTCCATCTTGCCGGGCGCTGGTGGCTCACGCCTGTAATCCTAGCTACTCAGGAGGCTGAGATCTGAGGATCGCGGTTCAAAGCCAGCCCGGGCAAGAGAGACTGTGAGACTCCTATCTCCAATAAACCACCAGAAAACCGGAAGTGGCGCTGTAGCTCAAGTGGTAGAGCGCTCGCCTTGAGCTGAAGAGCTGAG